TATCAGTGCTTCCATTTGGACTACTAATGATGTAGTTATGTCAACGTTGTGTAATATTGTTGTCTTCCTTGGTACTTCCCTGTCTATTGGCCATATGGATTGATTTTCTACAATTCGCTCAAAAAGGTCCAAAGCATTATCATAAGGCATATCCAATATCGACCCTCCTACAGAAGCATCGACGATGTTGTGAAATTGAGGTCTCAAGCCGGAATAGAATATGCAAATCTTTGATTCTTTAGGAATTTTCAAAGAGGGGCACTTCCTAGCGTAATCTTTGAATCTTTCTCATGCTTCTGGATAGCTCTCAAAGTCCTCTTGCTTGAAAGTATGGACTTCATTCCTAATATTATGGACTCAAGACAGCGGAAAGAATTTCAATATGAACTTTTGCACCATGTCATTCCATGAAACGATGCTCTCAAAAATTAAGGAATTTAACCATTCACTCGCGCCTTCCTTTAATGTGTGAGGAAATAGGCGTAGTTGAAAGGCATTTGCAGACATTCATTCGTGGTTGATCATACTGCACAGCATCAAGAAGGCCTGAATATGTTCATGAGGATTTTCGATTGATCTCCCAGAGAACCTAATATCTTGATGATTCTGGAATAAGTTGATGACGTCAGGTCTAATATGGAAGTTGGTCTGCCCGAAGGGTGGACAAATAATAGCCGGTTGCACGGGAGCTAGCACTGGATTTACATAATCTCTCACTGGAGCTTCTCCATGATTTGCTACTGCCCTCGGCTAATTTGGCTAAATATGTTGAGGTAGTGGTAAATGGTTCTGAACCTTATTCTAATGTTGATTTTCTGCCGCGTCTCTTGTTTGTTTCTGCTCTCTTATTTGCTGTTTGAAAGTTCTTTCGATTTCGAGATCTATCGAAAGAAGCTCGATCTCGTCAGAATTTTACATAAAAAATGATTTATTGAAAAGAGTAAAATGAGAGACTTAGATTGTTCAATGAATAGCCTAAAACAGATAACGTAACGAGAAAAAATAAAAACTTCAAATCTAAAAATAACCACTAAATTCAAGTTAAATAAATTATTCTTCGGGGCAATGGCATCAAAAACTTGCTCATGTAAAACCCGCAAGTGTACGAGATCCTCAACAAATAATAGATTTGATGAGTTGAGAGTATCGTCCCACGAGAAATAAAATTTAATTGAGTGTACTAATCTTTAATTAGATTCAAAGTAAACAAACAAAATTGATTTGTGATTTTTGATTATTCTAATTTAATCTACAAAATCTTGTAAAATGCGAATTCAATATATACGAGATGAGTGTATTGGATTACGAATCCACCTATTATTATCTATTCCAATTCTTGACTACGTAACTAATTTTGTTCTTGCATTATTGATAATCGATAATTCTATTGTAATTAATCTTTTCTTTTTCAAGAGATATTAAATCTTTCATATTCACGACCGAATCTATTCTTGGTTCGAATTCGAATAAATAAAACACATTCAATTTTACAATTATCTCAAAGATTACACATGTGATAAATCTTAATCCTAAAATTTATTGCACGCATGTTAATTAAGCAGTGGTTTAAACATATTATGGCTTCTCAGTACTACAACAAGCAACCATATATTTAATTGATGATCAAGTAATAAAATAATAAAATTAGGCATACAAGATTAATAAAAAATTGCAAGAATTCAACTAAGCCACATTTCTCGAATTAAAAATAAATAATAAAGGATTTCATCTTCATCTAATACATGAAAAATATTAGTCTAGCATAATATTGGTATTAAACACAAAAGAGTGGAAAGACGTCACAAAATATTGATGGAAAGTGAATAACTCCAATGGCTGCCTTATCAATTCAGCCCTTCAATTCTCCCCTAAGCTGCCTTATATAATGTATAATCAATCCCAAGTGGTTGCCAACGTATGATTTCATAATCCTCCACAGCCGCCCAATGTTTTCTTCTCTCCCCGTTTTCTATTGAATGGATATATAAATTTTGCCCAATTATGTAGATGTCTCTCCTTGGTTTCCCGTATTCTGTCTCTCTCTCCCAACAGCAGCCATGCATCAATAGGTGGTTGATTTGGTGGGGGGGGGGGTATATATACCTCTTTGCTGTCGATTTCAATTGTGTACATATATATTAAAATGTGGAAATTGTACAGGACACCCTAATTATGATATTAATTCCAATATTACATTTCCACATTTTTCACACCAAAAATACTAACATTTTAGAAGTAAAAACTACAAAGAGAAGTCAATATATGCTTCCCTAATTTAAGCTCAAACAATAAGACCACCACATCTTTTCAAAGACTTTCCTTAATCAAAATCCCTTTTTTCAAGCCTTTAATTTCTTCCGTGATTCATTCAAGTTTCCTTTGATCGCATGTGGATTCCATTTTCAATTGTCATCTTGCTAGAAATTCTAATCCCTAAAGCCTCTTGAAAAATCAGCTTTCATCTGCAAAAGAGATCAAAGAAGATTAGTAACATTAGATTTAACTTTGAATTCAAATAAGAAAAATCCTTAATTTTCTCAAGTTCTATTGGATTTTTTTTTTTTTTTTTTTTTTACGTGAACTGCATTTCTCTAAAATCTTATGTTTTGCTAGAATTTATATTTTGTACATAAGCTGTATTTGTCCTGTAAACTTGGATTTTTTGAAATTTTAATTTATCATAATTTGTATCTATTGTTCTGTATAATGAGATGATGTGAAATTAAAATATGTTATCCTTTACTTTTGTTTATCAACGAATATCTACTCAAGATTGTTTCAAGTAAAATATTTTATTACCCCTATAACATAATTTGTTTAATTGTATTTTTGTTGCAAAGTTAGTAACAAACATAGGTATAGCTTTTATTTGATACGTTACTTTTTTCATATAAAAGCGTATAAGATTTTTTTTCCCATGAAATTAATTAAATGTTGTGTAGTAGTGAGCATTTTAGTGTCATATATAATATGTCACGTTGCTATTGTACATTTTTTTGTCATTGGTGAGTAGGTTTAAAGCATCATAGTATGTTATCATTTTCATTGTGTGAACTTAATTCTTTTGCTAATCAGGTTACGTATCAAAACATGTTTAAACATTAGTTTTTGTAACAAGTGCGTTTTTGGGACTTGGAATGTTTGTATTTTAGTCATATATTGTGGTTTCATTTTATCACATGATATATATTAATCTTTTATGAGTTTTCCATCAACTAAGTTATTTTAAATGGAGATCTGAAATGAAATTTATGATAGAATTAAAACAAAATATTCACAGAGAATAATTGAGTTTGCAATTGAGGTAAATAATCAAACGACTTAAACTCATTAAATTCTATGATAGATGAAAATTGAATTAGAAAAAAATTTACGAAACTAAAGACGGTAAATAATAATTCACACGAACTATTCAATTATATAGCAAATTATCATGGTTTCTAACAACTCAAATCTTGTGTCTTTACTCTTTACCTTGTATTCTATATGCGAAAGAAATTTTAGATTACAACAATGGTACAAAAAAATAGTGTTTGTTACATCGGAGTTCAACAAACCTACAGAATGTTTCCTCTACATGGTTGTATTTTGAAATTTGCATGGTTTCAATTAAGAGAATGATGAGGAATTGTAATTAATGACGGGCTATTGTTGGGTTTCAGTTACAAAGAATGAGAGGAATTTATGGAATAAGTAATTTTGATTTACTTTTGCTTTATATCCAGTATTTATTAAATTATAAAATAATGACTAGTATTTGCTGAAATATTTTTATTTACTTGGTTATTTATAATTTTTTCCCTATTAAAATCCCTAGGCAGCCTTTTATTTTTTCACTCCAATACCAGGCCCAATTTTCTTTCTTTTTGATCCTGTTGCCACCTTCTTCTACAATTTGGCGCCCAATTATCTTTTTCACTTTCCATTTATTTGTTTGAGGCACAATTAGTTGCACTTTATTTTTCAAGGCCTCATTTCCTTATAATTAATGCAACTTAATCCTTCAATTTCTTTGTTATTTTCTCAATTTTGATATTCCAATTTTTATTCAAGTGAGATTTGGTTCACATACTTCTATTTAATAGCCAATTGATCCTTTTTTTTTTTTTTTCCCTCCCAATTACTTCAAAACCAATTGTTCGTTGAAACAAACACTAAATAAGTATACGAATTGCACTCATCAAAACCATTTGGGCTTGGCACATCAACCATCTACAATCCAATAATCAACTATGTTAGAAGTAACAATCATTTAAAAGTGTTTTGAGAAACGCACTCCTTCATCGATTCTTCTAAAACCTATACACCATCAATTAAAAGAAAATGTAGAAGAAATAGAAATAAGAAATATAATAATGTTAAGCCCCTGTCTGATTTCTATTACCTGAAAATGAAAATGGGAGGAATAATATTTTTTAGAAAAATTAATAATTGAAAAAGAAGGAAAAATTTTCGATTTACGTGTAATATTATTTTATGGAAGATTGTGTGGTTAAAAATAGAAGAGAGAGAAATAAAATTTAATGTAATTTAATTTAATGAAAATCAAACAGGGGCTAAATAAGAGTTATTATTTGTCTATTTGTCCTATCACGTATGACAGATTTGAAAGGCAAAACTCAAAAGGAAATTTTTTTGAATGAAATCATTTCTTAGTTATTACCCAACAAAAACTTACATTTCTATAACCAAAAAAATCACAAAATAGCAATTAATAAATGAACAGTTGACACCAGTAAAATAACAATATTACGATGTAAATTGTACTATTGTAGAGCTAAAAACATAGACTATATGTAAGAGTACCTTCTCTTATATAATTGACCGTTCATCGTGAATTAAAGGTGAGAGACAAAAATGGCAAATGGATATCTGGGATAACTTTTCAGTCTTCACTTTAACAATTTAGATTTTGGGCTGCTTATTGTCTTGTTAGGTTAATATTTGATTATTATATATATATAAGTTTTGGATCCCCCTACAATGATGAGTCCCTGTGCGATCACTCAAGTCGCACACACTCAGAGCCGCCTCCGATAACAATTACACCAGCAAATAAGCGATCTTCATATGACACTGTTACATTTATTCAGCAACAAACAAGCCAATACATTCAAGTATATTGCACAACTACAATTGACTCCCAAGCTTGTGCTATACGAAACCAGAGAGCCTCTTCCATTCACATACAACATTACAATTTGTTTATTCTGAGCTGCCAATAACCTCGCAAGACAGGGACTCTACACACCAGCTTGTTCACAGAGATCTAGCAAGTCCAAGGTCTACAATACCAAATGATATTCCGTGTCAGAACAAAGACATCACAGAAAGTGTATTCATAATAGTGGACCTCTTACTATCCTACCTCGGGTACAGACAGCTCAAGTCGAAACTTAGGACCATCATAATGATGCAGGACCGGCCTAAAAGCATCTTCTTCCAAAGCCTTGTAGAGTTTCCTAACTCGAATCCTTACCTAGTCCAGAACAATGAAGTAACAAAATAAATACTTTATTTAAAAAAATAGAATAGGATATAAAGCTGAAGTGGATAGGTTATACAACCACATGTTACCTGAGCAGGGAACCTTGACTCGCCTTTACACTTTTTATCTTCCCAAGCAGTAGGATCAATGTTCGAACCCCCAAAACTGGCTGCCTATAGTGTCAGTTTGAGGAACAATTTAAATGCCATTCATTAAAGATGCTAAATAAATTATGTCATGCTGAATGGAAGAGTTAATAAGTTCTGCATAAACCGCATAATTACAACATCAAGGTTTGGAATCAGGATTTCACTTCAGTGAAATATTAATTGGTGTTTATCATGTCTTGCCTGTTCAGACACTGTGGTCTCTGGTGCCATAGACGTAAATCCAGAAAAAAATAATAAAACATTGCAATGTACCTCAAAAATACCATGCAACTGGTGAGTAGTGTAGTTGTAGAGGAACAAGGGTAAGCCTGGTGTTATTGTCCTCACAGAGTCTCTATATCTTGGTGGTAAACCTGCAAAAGAATGCACTAGGATGTGAGTGAATATCACCAGCACATTCAGTATAATAAAGTATGTGCAATCAGAATCACCATATGGCAACATCCGTGGCTTTAGATCCATGTAAGAATGAAAATAAAATTCCACGGCATACAAAATCATCAAGATTATGTCAATCAAAACTTAAAAAGACAGGCTATCATAAAATTGAAGTAGAATATTGGCATCTACTAAGCTCGTTAATTCCTATCAAATGCACTAGAAGGTCAGGAAAAAAAATAAAAAATAAAAAACATACATAGATGTCGATATTGAAGTGAGAACAATTAAGTAATGGAGACATCAAACATTCTTTGTCAGAGCGAACATCTCTCAAACTACTTCCGAATAGCAATCTTGTATAAAGACTAAGCAATTTACTAATCAACAAATGTCAACCATTCAAGCCCCACACTACCCAAATTCATGCTATTGATTAAACACAGATCAAGATAATTGTGTTTGCAACAAATGCATTCAGGTCTCCTGACCTAGAGCTACAAATTACACAATGGGAAGGCCCAAGGTTTCACTAGATAGATCTTAAGTTCAGGCAATGATCAATGCTGCAAGAGAGAAATCATCTTAGTTACCAAACAGTTGTCTCTTTAGATCTTCTTGCATCGTGTCGTTGTTGCAAACAAAAATATATCCACCGAGAACCTCATTCCTGGGAAGTGCCTCTGCAGCAGGCAAGGTCTTAAACCTTTTGTCAGCTGCATTGCTTGCATAATTGCCTTCTTCCTTGTCATTGTTGCTTTTGTAGGGCTCCTTGCTGAGGTTGCTATTGTTATATTTGCTTCCAGAAATATTTCCCATAAAGTTGGCAACAGGATTGTGATATGCAGCATTTGTATCATAAATATTCCTCATAGAACTTTTCATCACATTCTCATTCATTTTGGTCTCCAGATTTAAAATGTTGAAATTCAAACTATCAAATTTGTTTTCTCCCTGAAAGCCATAATTATCTCTGGGCCTTATTTCAGCATAACCCTTTGAGAGATCTAGGTTGATCCTTCTTTCGCCTTTTGACCTAGTTTGCTCCTCTAATTTAGTAGCAGCCATCAACCATTTTTGATCCTCAGAATTTTTTGAATGTCCTCGAAGCTCATCTCCCAGCCGCCAAAAGTCCCGAATACTCTCCATGCTGCAGAATATCAAAATCAATATACATAAAACATTATTGTTAACTAACCTACCCAAAGAAAATCAAGTCATTTGGCACACTCCCGTTTTTTTTTTTTTTTTGCAACAAATATAAGAAACCATAAAACATACATGTTTTATTTAGGTTATTCAACCTTGAAAATATTTGCAAACAGAACCCTAAAATCAGGTTGAGTTCCACACATTCCTGTCTGTGCAGCATACAGTGGAAAATGCTTTTTAATATATTGTAATCTATAACAAATAACATATACATATAGAAGATTTTTGAATATAAACGGTGTCCAGAATATTATTTAAAACATTTTATCTGGGAAGACGTTCATACAAATTTTCCAGAACTAATTGGAGAATCTTAACGAGCTTCCCGAAATGTCATCACACAATACAACTTGAAAGAAACATAAACTACAAAAAATTATGCGTTCTCTTCAAAGTGGAATACTTTTATCCAAAGCTGACATCAAGCCTTAACCACATACATCCAAAATCAAACAATGCGGATCAACCATTGACAAATCAAAACACTAAATCACAACTCAAATGTAAACTTGCAGTTAATTTACCATCTTAACTCACCAAGCACAAAATTATTTTATGAAAAAGAGCAAAACACAAATTCTTAAAATCAGCTTTGATGAACGAGAAGTGCTCAAGTTAAAGGATCAGGACAAAAATCGTCAATTTGAACAAACCCTAGGTTCATTTATGGATTCAAAGCTAAAAGCTGAAGCTGGAGAGAGAAAATACACACCTTTATCTCCTTGCTGGCCTGAAATCAGGAAATGCGAGGGGAAGAAACAAGGTACATTTCTCACTATATATGTGGTTAATTTCACTAATGACCACTGTACTTCAATTAAATTCAGGTTCATCGCTAAAATTTATGAAATATCGCATTTCAACCAGTTCAGCAACCATTTTTCAACTGAAAATTCATAAAATTTAATTGAAAATTCTAATTTTTTGATGTCTCGACACATGGACATGTAGGAATTTCAGTTAAAAAATGGATATCAAAGTGAATTTGCATTCAATATGAAATATTTTGTAAATATAGAATGAATGAAAGTTTAGTGGTCAAAGTGACACAAAGTAAAAGGTTCTGTGGCCATTAGTTAAATTAACCCTATAGATGTGAGACTTCAGTGGAAATACCCTTGATGTTTTCTTTAAATTCAAAAATGCCACGGAAATTTAAATTTATTGGGGAAAGAGACAGCTCGGGCAATGAATTGGTGTATACGCGCTAGTACACTGCGTGAGTTTTATCGTTTATGTAGGTTTAGCGAGGTAAACCACGCGCTGAAGATTGTAGTGGGAGTGGGTCTACTGATGTGGACAGCGTTTACATGTCACCGACGAACAGCGAGAGCTGAAGGCAAGGAGCCTGAATCCACGGGTAAAAGCATAGCGTCGCTAGTATGAAATCGAATTGATTGATATCTAGCTGCATTTTTTTTTTTAAATAAAACAAAATTAAATCTAAATTGAGATAGTTAATGATGGCAAAAATTTTCGTCCCGCCCAAAAAATACACGATAAAAGCATAGGGGCGCTAGTAGGAAATCGAATTGATTGACATCTAGCTGCATTTATTTTTTTAAAAATAAAACAAAATTAAATCTAAATTTTAAAGTAAAAATTTCCTCCCTGCCCCAACGAATTGGCAGGGTGAAGAGTTACAAACCCATTTCATGAAGAGAAAAAATTATAAAGATAATAAAAAGATAAAAATAAATAGGATAGCAAACGGGGTAAGTTGTCGTTCTCACCCTACAAAGCGGTGCAGAGCGGAGTTTGGGTTGGATTGGGTGGGCTAGGGTGGGACGAGGAGCGGCTCCGTCCCGTTGCAATCACTAATGATAGTATACTTTCTTTCATATCAAATTTGACATTTAATGATCACGATATTAAATTTTAAACACCAATTTTTCTGCTTGTACAAAAGTAGAAGTGGGTATGACATTCGAGTCGAGCGACTCGTAAAAAGGGGATTCGGGCTCGTATTTAGACGAGCCGAACCCACTCAGCTCGCCTACAGGCAAGCCCACAAGTTGTAAAAAAATGTAAACAAAAAAGTCTTAAAAATTTTAAAAAATTAAAAAAAAAAACCTTGAGCTTGTGGGCTCGGCTCGTGAGTTCACGAACTTGGCTCGTACTTGAACAAGCTTGAATGACGAGATGAGCTCGTGGGGTACGTGTGACTGCTAAGTAGAAGAGCCAAAATTTCAGCACATCAACAGCATGAGGTTGATCTCCTTTTTGTTTTTTGTTTTTTTTTTTAATTGGATACTACCATGTGTATTCTGTGAAAATTCAGGCAAAAAATTTCTGTACACATAGCACTTTTGTTTAACCTGGCTTGTGAGTTAATTTTGATCATTCTGCATTATTAATAACATTGAGTTGATTTCAAAGTATTTTTTCTGATTTTTGGACGTTTTCTTTCGTTTCTTTCTTGCGAATCATCTGCTACAATAAGTCAATAAGATAATCACTATCCTACTCGACGTTAATTGATATCAGAGCACAAAATTAAAATGAGGGTGAAAAAGTAAATTTATTATACTTAACCCCTGTTTGAGCCACATTTTTATCTCATTAAAATGAAAAATATGACCGTTATCTATCACGTCAAGCCACCATTTTTGAATTTCTATCTCTGGTGTGGAGCCCATAACGACTCTATTTCTCATTCTCATTATAATGTGGCTCAAACAGGCTCTTACAATATTTGTCGTAATAGTGAGGCCAAGTTGCTTTGGAATTAGGGTCATTTGGAGGTAGACACCCATTGCACCGTTTGAAAAAGAAACTTTTCTTTCAGTTATTACAAGTTTGAGGCAGGTTCTAGGAGAGTGTAGAGATAAATAATAAAAAACCTTTTTAGAGAATTAGCTTTATTGCTAATCTTTACTAGGTGGTAGATTGACCTAAATGCATCCGATAATAACTTTTCCTCTAACCCCTCAATGTCCACAAAAGGAAAGGCACAACTATATGTGCCTACCCATTCGAAGAACGTTGGGTAGGGAAGAGGTTAAAGGAGTCAAGAACCTCGTGGAAAAAATGACTTAACCTCATGTCCATCAAATTCTTGTGAATAGAATTACAATCGCAAGGTGAGCGATTCCTAAATTGTTTGAGACATACTAGTTTGATTTCTTCAGAAATATTAAATTTACTTCTAATCTCAGCCAAGTCCCGTTTGATAATTTTGGAAAATATCTTTGAAGTCTCATAAAAAAATCTCTATCTTTGCCCCCATTAGAACTCATAGGTTCATTTGAAGGCTCGTTATTTATGTCCCTAAGTTGTAGTCATTCTCCTTACCTAAAGATTCACAAATTTATACACTTATCAATTTGTGTGACCACCATTTGAGGTGTAGCATCACAATGTAACACATTTACAGAGGATGACGATGATGAATTTACCCTGTTTTCACTAAATCTAGAGCTAGTAGCTTAGACACTAATGGATCCGTTTTGAGAATCACTTGGGAAAACATTCTCCAAAATTGAATAATCAAAAACTTTCACATAAAAATTCATCGTGTAGCAGTAAATGATGAATAGAGAAAGAATATGCATGAGGAGAAGGAAAAGAACAAAATTAACAAACAATTGGATGCAGATCTGAATATCCTCATTTCGTATAGTCATTTCTCTTCTTGTTCGTGCTGGAGCTTAGAATTAGTGTTTTTAGGTAAGAAAATTCTTGGTTAGATGAGAGAAATTTGTTAGTCTCATTTTCGAGGTCTACAAAACTATCATTAGTCGATAATCTACTATTCCGCTATCATATGAGTATCGACTTTTCATTATAATTGCACGATAATTCATTATCACACAAAATTCCATGAAAACAAGTTTTAATAAATGTCTAGATATTGATCTAAGTTAGGAAATCAAAGTCTAAAGTCAACAAGTAACTTGTTGGTTACAATTAAACAAAGATTTGGAAGATGTTATCCTAAATCCGTATCGAAACTTTGTATTAAAGTTACATGATGAAATCATATTAGCTAATATTATTCAATTCAATTCTTCGGTATCACATTACTTCCATAGAAACAAGTCTCCATTAAATATTTATTCACCAAACTAAGGGGGTGTTTGTTGGGCATTTTTATGTAAAAATGTATTTTAGAATAGTAAATTGATGTGAAATGTATGGTTGAGAAATAAGGAAAAGTTTTTGATTCACGTGTAATATTATTTTAATAAAGAATGTGTGGTTGAAAAGAAGAAAGAGAAAAATGCATTTTGAAAAAAATGGCTACCAAACGGGACCTAAGTTAAAAATCAAATTTAATTTTATAAGATGGACATGTAGGTATTAAGTTACTATTAAATAAACGCTACCAAAATTACAAAAGGCTCCTATTCGGTACCAATTAAAATTTTTTAATTTAAAACAAAGTCAACAATTCATTTTAATCACATATCTTATGGGTTCACAATTTTTCAACCATACATTTCATCCATTTTTATCAAAATCTACTAAAAATTTGATTTTAAATTCGCAAGAGCTAATTTTGTTCCCAAAACTAGATCCCATTCTTCCCCCTTATTTTATGAACTCCACAATTCCATTTCCCTGTCCACCAGCATCCCTTTCTTTTTTAAATAATTTAGAGAAAAGGGGATATTATTAAAAAAAAAAAGAAAAAGAAAAGTGGTGGAGAAAAAAAGAAGTAGATGGCCCACGTTCTCCTATCCTGGCTGCAAGTAATGATTTTGAGATTTGAGCCTTTGATTTAAATCGGCAAATCAACTTCTATCTTTCTCTCCTTCGCCGTTTTTCTATACTCAGCAATGCAATGGAGTACCAAAACTCCGGAATGCTATCGAAAGAGCAATTGCTTCATCTCTTTGACCGTTTTGCTTTTCTCACCTCACAGCCTGGTAAATTTTACTCAATGTTTCTTTTGCATTTTTATTCATTTGTTGTTTTCTTATTCCCTTTTTTGAATGATGCTTAGATGTGAAGAAACGGATTGCTGATGCTGTAAATGATAAGCAGGTTCCTCTAAATTTCTGCAATTGTCAACAAAATAGTATTAACATTTTTCAATTAATTTACAAGACTTGTTTTAAAGTTTGAATCATGAATGTGTGCATTTTATTAGAGAAAACAACGTGCAGAATGAAACTGTCGGTTCAAGGCTGCCGAGGAACTTTAACCTCTGTTCGGATCCCATTTTTTAAGAATAGATCTTGTAAAAAATTAATTTTTTGAAGAGTGTGGATAAAAATAATAAAAAAATTTGGGTTTATATGCAAAATTATTTTATTGGAATAATGTGTGGGTGAAAATGACTTTTGGTTGGGGGG